AAATAATTTAATAATTTATAATTTACTTTATTAATACAAGTCCATAAACTGTCACATTGATAAAACCTTCTTGACAAGTTATAAATGTATACAATTATTATTATTATTATTTTTATTTTCTTTGATTTCTGGCGTTTACACATTTCTTTCCGGGTCATGACACTTTCCATTGAAAAAAAAAAAAAAGAATTAAATTACATAGATAAAGCCCTTCGTAAGGTGTGGGCTGTACTTGTCAGAACAAGTTTTTGTATCTCCTTGAGGCATGGACTTCCAGGAATCCCTTCAATTAGTCTACTGCAATCTTTTCCAACCAGTCCTAGGGCTCCAACTACAACAGGGATTGTTGATGTTCCCATATGCCACATTTTCGAGATTTCTATTTCAAGGTCCTTGTATTTTGACAACTTTTTGAATATCTTCAAAGATACATTGCAGTCAGCAGGGACTGCCATATCAATAAGGAGGCACCGTTTTTTTGTTTGTGGTCTTTAATAACAATATCTGGGCGGTTGGCCTTGATTCTTCTGTCAGTGTGTATTGTGTAGTCCCATAGAATTGTAACAGGTCCTATCTCCGTAACCGGGTCTGGGTGGTGTTCATACCAGTTTCTTTCAGTTTCCTTCCCGTAGAAGTTGCAGATTTTCCAGTGCAGATATTGGCCCACTCTGTCATGTCGAGTTTTATATTCAGTGGGTGCCAACACCGTACAACCTGATACAAGATGATCAATCGTTTCTGGATATTTATCACAGAATCTGCATTTTGGGCTGACACAATATTTTAGTATATGCGCTTGATAATTCCTAGTTAGCAAGCATTGGTCCTGCGCAGCAAGAATAAAACCTTCAGTTTCCGCTTTCAACCCTGCACTTCGTTGCCACTGATGGGTACGGGTTTTGTCTACGTCAGCTTGTTTGGTATGGGCAGAGTATTGGCCATGAAGCGGTTTATTATTATTATTATTATTATCATCATTATTGTTATTATTATTATTATTATTATTATTATTATTTGGGACGAGAATGATATCAGAAAGATCGTTACAAATGCAGAAAGGCGTGTAACTCTATCATTATCATTATTATTATTATTACTTCCTTTGATTTCTGTTGTATACACATCACCCCAGTCAGAAACTTAAGGTCAGAAATGACTTCATGACATATTCATTTTTTTTTAAATCTAAGATCACACATTTTCCATGGATAAAGTTCTTCGTAAGGTGTGAGCTGTACTTGTGAATACAATTTTTTGTATTTCTTTAAGGCATGGGTTACCGGGGATTCCTTCAATGAGTTTATTGGAATCTTTCCCACTCAATCTGAGGACTCCAACTACGAATAGAACTATTGATGTTCTCATGTGATCTATTTTTGAGATTTCTATTTGAAGATCCTTTTATTTCGATAGTTTTTTGAAGATCTTCCAAGGTACATTAAAATCTACAGGGACATTAAAATCTATTATGTTTGTGGACTTTGATTACCATATCAGTGAGAAATTCTGACATTATGTTTTTGTGGACTTTGATTAACAAAATGTATTGAATGTCAGGTTTGGTGGGATTAGATTTGATTATTCTGTCGGTCTTCCGTGCAACCCATATTTATATAAAGTCCGCTTATAAAATTAGGTTATCATGTCCTATCTCTGTAACCGGGGTCTGGGTGATGTTCATACTAGTCTCTTGAAGTTTCCTTCCCGGAAAAGTTGCATATTTTCCAGTGCAGATATTGACCCAATCTATCATACTAAATTTTTTTAATCAACGGATGTTAACATCGTGCAATCGGATACAAGATCGTTTAAACATTTCCTTCTGGGCCTCAACCAGAGACCTAAGCTCAGAAATGGTTTCTTGACATCTTCCAAAAACAAAAAAAAATAATGCTAATCTAAGACCACACGCATTTTAAATTGATAAAGCTCTTCGTAATATGTGAGCCGTACTTGTGAGTACAGTTTTTTGTATTTCTTTAAGGCATTGGCTACCAGGATTGGTTTCAGTATGTCTATAGGACCCTTTTTCAATCCGTCCTTGGGTTGCAACTACAACTGGAATTATTATTATTATTATTATTATTATTATATTTCCTTTGATTTCTGGTGTGTACTCATTTCTTTCCGGGTCCCGCCCATAGATCTAAGGTTAAAAATGGTATCATTTTCCACTGACCAATTAAAAAAAAAGACACAATAAACCACATGCTTTACATAGATAAAGCCCTTCGTAAGGTGTGGACTGTCTTGATAGTTTTTCGAAGATCTTCAAAGATACATTACAATCTGCAGAAACTTTCAGGTCAATAAGAAAGCACATTCTGTTTTTGTGGTCTTTGATCACAATGCCTGGACAATTAACTTTGATTTTTTGGTCTGTGTATATTGAAAAGTCCCATAGAATTGTTACAGGTCCTATCACTGTAACTGGGACTGGGTGATGTTCATATCATTTTTTGTGATTTAATTCCCGTAAACGTTGCATATTTTCCAGTGCAGATATGGGGGCCTCTTTATTATTATTATTATTATTATTATTATTATTATTATTATTATTATTTGTTTTCTGTTGTAAACACATTTCATTTCGGCTTCCGGCCAGAAGCCAAACATCATAAATGGCTTCAAGACATTTTCCTCTGCACATTTATCTAAGAAAAAATAAAACAATAAAACGTAGCTAAATCCATTCTTAAGGTCTGAGCACTGCTTGTGACAACATCTTTTGTATTTATTTATGGCATGAGCTGCCAGGAATCCAATGAGTTTAATAGAACGATTTCCAATCAAATCCAGGTCCCCAACCACAATTGGAATTAATGACGTCTTCATGTACCACTTTTTTGAGTCTTCCACTTCAAGATCCTTGAGTCTTGATAGGTTTTGGAAGGTCTTCAAACCGGCATTACAATTTGCAGGAACTGCTATGTCAATTAGAAAACACATTCTGTTTTTGTGGTCATAGATCGCCATGTCTGGATAATTAGCTCTAAGTGTTCAGTCTGTGTGTATTGTAAAGTCCGATGTAATTGTTACAGGTCCTATGTCTGTAGCCGGGTCTGGGTGGTGTTCATACCAATTTTTTATAAAGTTGCTTCCCATAAAAGTTCCGGATTTGCCAGTGCACATATTTATTAGTCCCCCCTGTCATGCCGAGTTTTATATTCCTTGGATTATAAGACCGTGCACCCTCATGCAAGATGGTCATTAATTACTATTATTATTATTTTATTCCAAGCAAGGCGATAATGGTATTAGGATGCAAGGGGTTACTGGGAGTAAAAAGAGAATGAGAATTTGACATTATTGTGACACTGGTAGTATGAAATTACAATTAAAAGGGTTCATGTAGAAACCCGTATAGCAATTTGAGTATTGGAAGGGTTAAAACGTTAAAATCGTTAAGGTAAAAATATGAATTGAAATTTGTAGCGAAGAAAAAAAAAGAGGAATATTTTTTTCTTCTGATAAACAGATGGGTGGATAGAATTGTTATGAATCCGAAAGCCGGAATTATCTTCTGAGTAATGAGGAATGAGAAAATTTGCCGATTTTAAATAAATTTCCAAGTGCAAAAAGTTCATTCTTTTGAATAGTTGACTCTTTTGGTATTTGAAGGTCATTGACGGCCGAGAAGCGAATTTGGGTAAAGCCGAAAGAATTCTCAAAGCCGGGCTTTGTAAACATGCTACTGGACAGGAATTTATATGGGTTTCTTTCATTTTTTTTACGTTCTTTTTTTTCTCTTTCTCTTCAAATTTCTTATACACTGTTCTGCTTTTTCGTTATACTTTTCTGTCTTTCATTCTTTCTTTCTTCCTTTCTTTTCAATTTCCAAAACTTTTGTCTACTTTTTCCTGGTTTCTTTTCTCGATTTCTTTGTGTTTTTCTTTCTTTCTTTCTTTCTTTCTTTCTTTCTTTCTTTTTTCTTTCTTTCTTTCTTTTCAAACCTGTCACGTTTTATTCTGCTTTTTACTTTCTTTTTCGATTTATCTGTAATTTACTTCTTACTTCATTCTTCCCTTCCTTCCTTCCTTCCTTCTTTCCTTCCTTCCTTCCTTCCTTCCTTCCTTCCTTCGTTTATTTATGTCTTTTTAAGTTTCGAAGCCTCTGTCTAATTTCTTTCTTTCTTTCTTTCTTTCTTTTCAAACTCGTAACTTCTTATTTTGCTATACATTTTCTTTTTCACTTTATCTATATTCTACTACTTCCTTCCTTCCTTCCTTTTTTATTCCTTCCTTCTTTCCTTCCGTTGTTTATTTCTTTCATTTTAAGTTTCGAAGCCTTTGTCTACTTTTCCTCCTTTCATTTCCTTTCTTTCTTTCTTTTTTTTTCTTTCTTTTTCTTTCTTTCTTTCTTTCTTTCTTTCTTTCTGCTTTCATTCCTTTCTTCATTTTTTCTTTTCAAGTTTCGCATACTTTTCAAACCCATAAAGTTTTATTCTGCTTTTCACTTTCTTTTTCACTTTATCTCTGTTTACCTCTTCCTTCCTTCCTTCCTTCCTTCCGTTTCAAACCCTTTGTCTACTTTTTCCTTCTTTTCTTTCTCTCTTTATTTATAATTTTATTTCTTTTTTTTCTTTCTTTCCTTCTTTCTTTCTTTCATTTCAAATCCCTATCACCTTATACTGCTTTTCCGATCCCACTTCTTTCTCACTTTATACTACCCTTCATCGATCCTTAATTTCTTTCTTTCTTTCTTTCTTTCTTTCTTTCTTTCTTTCTTTCTTTCTTTCTTTCTCCTTCTACCCTTGGACTGAACGCTCTCGCTGCTCTTCCCCATGCTCATCCTCCCCCTGCCTGTCCCGTACACATGTAAACAGACAACCGAATTTATGTAAGGTACCGTAAAAACATTTTGCCTCGTCTAACACATGTGTGTAAACAATGTGCTCTTACGAACATGTTATCTTCAACTGGATGCTTTTGTCATCAGCAGGTTTAGCCCCCATCATTATCACCAGTGTCGCATTTGGTACATCCATCTTATTCAAAATTACCCATCCCACACTTATTCGCCCATCTCTCAATCTCTCCCCCCCTCTTTATTAATGTTTCCCAGATTTCTTAACATAAATCAAACGTAACCAGGGCCCACCGATAGAACTACTTACCTTCTATGCATGACATTCCCTTAATATCTGTCAGAGTGTAAATCTATGAAGAAGCAAATAGAAAAAATATATATATATATATATATATATATATATATATATATATATATATATATATTGTATATTTAGGCAGCAATCCATCACTTATGCATGTTTCATTAAAATGACAGACAAGGTACTACGGTTAAGCTTTTTTATTTAATTTTTTCTTCTGTTCGAACAAGAGCTTTTTTTTTGGATACAGAGTGTGTAGAAATTGTACAAATGTTCTATAGTTCCGAGCGTTTCGGCTATACGTTTACCCATTAAAAAGGTTGATCTTATTTTTTTAGTTTAAACGTCTGTGTGAGTGTTATGTGCATGCCTTTAATGTGTTATAGAGGTGTTTTATTTTCCGAAAACGGTTAGCACATTGTGGCCTTGTTCGTAATTAATATTGTTAAGAGTTGGCTTTTTCTTTTTTATTATTAAGGCTTCCATTATTTTTAATATTTTTTACAATCTTTTTTTTTACAATCTTGTTAAAACAGATTAAAAATAATATAATCCAATATATATATATATATATATATATATATATATATATATATATATATATATATGTATGTATGTATGTATGTATGTATTGAAAAGTAAAAAATATTAAAAAATTAAAATCTTCAGATACACTGAATTGTATATTAATATTCTTTTGTTTTTATTATTATTTCATTTAGATTCCTCGACTAGTTTCGGCCAATATGGCCATCATCAGGAGAAAAAAAGATTTTCTGCTTGCTTTTAGCAGTGAACTACATATATATGATATATCCATTTTTATATACTAGAACAATGTCAGGAAAATCAATAAACATCCAAAGTAAATTTACAACTGGCAAATCAATTATTGTACTGCATATATAATATTGATTAAAATAATGATACTTTAATTAAAAGAGGAAGCAATTTATTTGGATGAAATTGTATAGAAAGTGCTTGAATTGCTAGATCATTCACAGTAAATTGCGTCCAGATACTTACAACATTTCCACCTTTCATGTCAGATCTTTTGTCATCAAGACGTGGGGTGTAAAAGGGATAAAAATATAGTCAAAATGAAAAAGAAACTACATTAAATTGTTTAGACTACACATCCAAACACATATTAAAAAAAAATGGATTTAGAAGTTTAAAATTCCAGCGTTCCTCTCTTTCATGCGCATGTGTAGTTACATCAATATAAACATCACTTTAGTCCGATGATGTTCTAATATTTTTTTTTATTGTTGTTGCTTTTTTCCATTATGAAACCAGGTTGCACAGTATACATCACAGCGCTCGAATGTTTATCCTTGTCATTAAAATGCTGTCAGTCATTGTAAACATTTCTTTTTCATAACTTTTCGATCGGGTTAATTTCGGGCGAACAAGCTAGACCCTGCTTCGAACGAATGTCTTGAAACTCATTTCATCCAGGTCTTCATTAACTTCGCTGAATATGGCGTCGTGCATAAAAATCTTATTCCTTCTGAAAGTATATGTATTCAACTTCAAACATGATTCCAAGTGTGCCTTCAAAAACAAAACGTGGGAACGTTGTTTTCGTCTATGTTCAGTCAAACATTACTAAACTTGTCTGGCTTGCTTTGGTTTGATTTGTTTTGTTTTACGGCATATCTCCCTCAATGGGCTATTTAATACCGACTAAATTTTTATTGCTGGTAATATTTTTCCAAAAATGCATTGCTGGTAATCTTTTTTTCTTTTAAAATCTATTGCTGGTAATATTTTTTTTCTTCAAAAATATATTGCTGGTAATAATATGTTGCTGGTAATAATTTTTCCTTTAAAAGTTTATTGATGGTATTAAAACTTATTTCAGAGTGTTTTTGACCCCAGTTTATGGGTTAACTATTTGCCCATAGCTGGGGCCCTAACAGATGCTACCACCCCGGGTCAAGGTGGACCTGGGAACACCAGCAATTAAGATGTGGTTCCACGCTCCTCAAAATCCCCTGATCAGGGGCCTTGCTGTCGAACATAATTTATCGTCTTACCTAGAACGCTTGTCTGGCTAATCGAGAGTAGTGAATTTAGACAATAATAGCACTGGTAAGTATGGCAAGAATAAAAATGGAAAAGTGAAAAAATAGGAAAATTAAGTTAATTGAAATATACGCTATCGGCAAATAAAATTAGGTTTTTGAATTAAATATATATATATATATATATATATATATATATATATATATATATATATATATATATATATTAGCAAAATAAGTAGAATTGTTTTGCCACCATTTCTTCATGTAAGTTTATACCCTTTAAATTTATAAAAAAAATATAATAAAATCAAATATGTTTATGCATAAGTACACTGTTTTAAATCAATCTTTGAAAACATTATTTAATAACTAGGATCTTATGTTGCGACCAAGTTATTTTTACCTGTGCTATTTAACCGTGCCGTTGTTACCGATGCTATTATTACCGTTCACTTGGATCGTACAGCATTCGTTGGTCTTCATGTATTTTGTTTCGATTATTGTTAAGAGTTGGCTTTTTTAAAATCTTCAGACACACTGGGTTGTATATTAATATTCTTTCGTTTTTATTATTATTTCATTTAGATTCCTCGACTAGTTTCGGCCAATATGGTCGTCCTTCCTTTCTTTTCAAACCCTGTTTTATACTGCTTTACATTCTTTCTTTCTTTATCGATGCATTCCTTCCTTCTTTCCTTCCTCTTTTATTATTATTATAAACATTTTTTTCAATTATGAAACAGGTTGCACAGTATACTTAACAGCGCTGTTTACCTTTTTCCAAAAATGCATTGCTGGTAATAAAATCAAATATGTTTATACATAAGTACACTGTTTTATATCAATCTCTGAAAACAGTATTTAATAACTAGAATCTTATGTTGTGACCAAGTTATTTTTACCTATGCTATTTTATCCGTGGCCAATCAGAAACTTAAGTTGTCCTTTTAATGTTCTGACACTAAATTTAGGACCAAGATTTCCTACACTTCCTCGCTTCTAGAATGGTTAAAAATGGTATAGCTTAGCAACAAAAATGCAATTATTTTTTAAAGATTCCAATCTTTATCAAGACTGAACAAAAAGTCGAGGAGACACATTCTTCGATTTCTCCTTATGAGGTCTGCATCGGAATCGTCCAGGATTATCAACGAACTACTCGATAGTTTTGTTGATACCCCCGGTCATTTTTTAAATTTGTAGCGTTGTTTTAAAGTATCTGTCTATATTTCTGAGATGAGATATTATGTACACTATTTACATTGTTCGGACTAACGTCCTCAACTTTGTTGCCATATTTATCACAACGTTTCAGCTGTTGTATTCTCCGGACTTCTTCAGGTGAATGTCGAAAAAATTATAATAAAATCAAATATGTTTATACATAAGTACACTGTTTTATATCAACCTTTGAAAACAGAATTTAATAACTAGAATTTTTTTAATCAGATTTTAGTATTTTTTTAAGGTTTTTATGAAATGCTTTACTTCGACTATGAGTGAATGGTATGAAGGAAAGATTGCTTTCATGCATTAAATCTCTTTGATATATTGAAGTCGGTGTACATTTACAATGACTTAGAGACTTACAATGATGTAAGGATCGAACACCCGACTTCCCAGAAAGAAAACTAACTTTTTCATCCGCTCTGATATGTCCAGTAAGACATGTTTTTTGTTTTTTTTTTTGTATTTGACACCATAAAACGTTATTAATTGCGGTTAAATTATAGAATATACATTAAATTTAAATTCTTCTTCCAACAAATCCAATTCCGATTATTCAAAATTCCTAACATTCTTTTTATTCAAACAATTTTTCTTTCTTTCTTTCTTTCTTTCTTTCTTTCTTTCTTTCTTTCTTTCTTAGTGCTAAATTATTTTACTTTTGTTTATTTGTGCATTGCCTACTTTCTAATTTTCTTTCTTACTTTCTTTACTTCGTTTGTTTGCTCGTTCAATTTTTATTTTCGTTCATTCATTCTTTCTTTCTTTCTTTTTTGCTCGTTTTCTTTATTCACTCATTGAATCTTTTTATCTTCTTTTTTTTCTCTCTAACAATCAATCACTCTTTAAGCCTCTCTTTCTCTTTTCATTTATTGGGTTATTTTCCTTGCTCCATTTTGCGGTATATTTAGTTCCTTCTTTTTTCTGTTCTGTTCTGTTCTGTGCTTTCTTTCTTTCTTTCTTTTTTCTTTCTTTCTTTTCAAATCCTAATGTTTTATACTGTTTTACCTTTGTTTCTTTCCCTTTTTATTTATGCTTTCCTTCCTTCCATCCTTCCTTTCTTTTCAAATCCTGTTTTATACTGCTTTACATTCTTTTTTCTTTATCGATGCATTCCTTCCTTCTTTCCTTCCTTCCATCCTTCCAAGTACCTAATGTTTTGTCATCTTTTTCTTCTTTCTTTCTTTCTTTCTTTATTTTTTGTTTGTTTTTCTTTCTTTCTTTACCAATAATTTCCTTACTTTCTTCCCCCCCTTCCTTATTCCCTTCCTTCCGCGTTCCGAATGTTTTGTCTACTTTTTCTTCTTTTTCTTTCTTTCTTTTTTGTTTGTTTTTCTTTCTTTCTTTCTTTCTTTCTTTGTCTTTTTTTTTCTTTTTTTTTTTTTTTTTTCTTTTTGTTTACTTTTCCTTACTTTCTTTCTTTCCTTCATTCTTTCGTTCGCGTCTTCTTTCTCTTCAGACCCTAATGTTTTATATTGTTTTACCTTTATTCCTTTCTCTCTTTATCTATGCCTTCCTTCCTTCCTTCCTTCCTTCCTTCCTTCCTTCCTTCCTTCCAATTTCCAAATTTCTTGTCTTCTTTTTCTTTCTTTTCTTCCTTTCTTTCTTTCTTTTATGCCACGCTGATTAATTTATTTTCATATATTTTCATATTTCTTTCTTTCAATTATTTCCATTATATTCTATTTCTTTCATTCCTGACATTGTTCTTTTTCTTCGTTTCTTTATTTTTATATTTCCTCTTTTCACTCTTTTTTCCATTTCTTTCTTTGAACTTTTTCTTTGGTTTATATCATTTTGTTTTTTTTTTCTTTTACATTTCCAGTGTGTTATTCTTTTCGTTTTCGTCTGATTTTTATTTGATTTCTTTTTCTTTGCTTTTCACGCTCTTTAATTTATTTTTTTTTTTTTTTTTGTTTTTTTTTTCTTTTTTTCTTCAATTATTTATCACCTTTTTTTCTTTCAATTTTTCTTTTTTTCCTTTTTTTTTTTTAAATTCTTTAGTTTGTCTTTCTTTAATATTTCTTTCTTTATTTTCTTTTTCCCTTTTCTTTTTATTTCTTCTTTTTTCCTTCTTTCTTTTTCCTGAATTTTTCTTTGATCGTTTTCATTTTTTTTCTTTCTTTCTTTGCTTTCTCCTTTCTTTTTTTCCTTTTTTCATCTCTCTTTCTCTATTCCTTTTTTTCTTTCATCTTTTTCTCTTACCGACATTTTTTTTCTCCATTTGCACGTGTCTTTTTTTTTTACATATTTTTTTTTTTTAAGATTTCTGATTCAATTGTCTTGGAATAAATTTAAATAAGCCCACCGCCTCAATTATTTACATAATCTTTTTTTTTTTTTAATTTTTTCATATTTAAAAAAAAACTTTCATTTCTGTAGGATCTTTTTTTTTTATTCAATTCAGCATCAATATTTTATCTATTAATCTGTGAGTCATTAATCGACGAACAACCCAAACCCTCGATTATTTCTTTCTTCATCATCATATTTCATTCAAGCTGAAGTTACTTTATTTATTTTTTTTTATATTTCATTCAATTCTCCATTTGTTTCTTCATTTCCAACGTCAATTCCATTTTTATTTATTTATTTATTTTCATCCATTTTCCCTTTTTACCGAATTCTATTTTTTAAATAAAATAAAATGAGCGCTTCTTAGGGGTGAACTCCTTTAAGACACAACACAAAACGCTCCCTTTTCCTTCATCGCCGCCATTGAAAATTCTTCCTAATTTAATTCATTTCATGTTGGCAAATTTGACCTCTCCTCCAACCCATCAGGAACACCGTTATTAATGTTGTTGTTGTTGTTATTATTATTATTACAATTATTATTATTATTTTGTTGTTTCCACTTCTACAATTATGAGTCAAATGCATTCATTCTATCCTTTTCTTTAATTTAAAAACCTCCTTGATTTCAAACAATTAAGACAAAAATACATAAATAAATGACTAAAAAAAAAAAATAAAACATAATAAAATTAACAGATAAATAAAAATAAAAATAAATAAATAAAACAAAAATAAATAAATAAATAAATACATTGCTCGTCACCATCCCACTAACTTCCCTTTTCCGAAAGAGAGAACAAGCAATTTGAGTGTCTAATTCTTTGAATAAATAAGGATGGAAAATGTTCCATCTGTCTCTCTGTCAGGGTGTCCCTGAAAAGGACGAGACGGGTCAGGAGGAGACAAGAAGGTCCCCGGGAAAGCTGGCTCCGTCATTGGGCTGTAAGATTCGTGATTAAATGTCGATTTCTTTCTCGACTGCCGATCATGCTGAGAAGAATAGCGTTTGGTGGAAAACGAAGCCGGGACGCTGTAAACCAACCCTGTGTTTGAGAATCTTCTGGCAGCCTCGACGCACTATAACAGGCGTCAGTCGTCCGTCTCGCGTCACTGTCCCACTGGCACATCTGTAGACCGTCGGTACGAGCCACGTACACAGGTTGTGGACAAACACGCGGAGGAATCTGAAATGTTATCGGTTCTCACCTGGCATTTAAGCTTCATTCACTTTCCCACGCGACTTCTCTATGCTTTTCCTATAAATATTTTTCCCAGTAATTGTGCTGGTGAGTTTTCCTCTTCGGTACCTCGACTACACGAATTTAAGCGCAGCACTAGATTGGCAGCTAGGTCTCATAATTTAACTGCTGAAATTGCTAGTTGTAATCGTATTTTCTATTCTATTAGTTTCTTTACCCGAATTTTTCTCTTGTGGAACTCTCTTCCTGTTTCTCTGTCAAATACGATCTTTAAAAAATATAAATCGTTATCATTTGTCTCCTTGAACCCTGTTATTTCTTTCACTCTCAATAACTCGTTACATCTTTGTGGCTATATCGCCTTGCTTGGGGTGAAATGTCTCCAAAATATAATCAATTGTTTGTTCTGTTTTAAGAGCATATCAACTCCGTCGGTTATTTAATGCCGAATATGTGGCTTGTAAACAAAATAAATAAAATAATAATGATGACTAAGAAGAATTAATATCGGCCGAGTTATCGGTCCTGACCTGGATCTCATCATCAGTTGAAGCTTCTTTTAGCCTCTTCTAGAAATATTTTCGCGCGAACTCTTCTGATGAGCCTTCTTTGTTGATACTCCGACATTACGAATTGAAGTGCAGTACTACACTGGCACTTAGGTCTCATGATTCCACTGATGAAATTGCAAATTGTAACCATAAGTTTAACGATAATTGTTTCGCTTGTCGTACACTCTTTCAGCTTCCTGCTTTCTTTTCAAAATATAAATGTAACATCAATCGTTATCTTCTGTCTCCGAGAATCATGTTCTTTTATTGTCCTCGCTGTCACTTTCACTCTCAGTAACTCCTTACAGCTTAGTGACTTTATCTCCTTGATTGCGATGAAATAAAAAAAAATAAAAGCTTAGACTTGAAATTACCGGCTCTGATGAAGGTAATTGGTTTCATCACTTTCTTTCTTTCTTTCTTTCTTTCTTTCTTTCTTTCTTTCTTTCTTTCTTTCTTCAGAATGCGGTAATTTGCACTTACGTTGTTAGTGCAAGGATTAGCATCCCAGAAAGAAAAATCAGGCGAATTGGTTACATTCATTTTCGCAGAAACACTCTTGGTAAAGGGATAAATCCGTCTCTACTTCCTCTAGCTGTCAAGAAAGACCGGACATTCTAGCCGTGATTGGCAACCAGTCTATTTAATACAACTAAACTAGTCGCCCAAAACAATTCTTCTCCGTCAACTTACAAAAGACCAATATCCGATATCAATATAAATGTCGTTTGGGACATCGCATCGTTTATGAAAATGTTAATGCATAAGTTGGTTTTACAACAATGGTGCTGACGAGAAGGGTTACGTTTCACTTGGATGGGCATAGTTCAATCTTAGAGCATTTAAAGGAACACTCATGTCTACATTCACAGTATAGACAGACATTAGTTGAAAATACATCAGTACTCTATCAAAATAATAAGCAAAAACTTAAAATCCTAGAAGCCATTTATATCAGAGAATTAAAGCCAAAAATAAGTAAAATCAATTATGAATATAGGAAAAAGTTCTTAAATATTTGTAGCAGCAATGTTTTATATAAAAATACTAAATTAAAATATTATCATTAAAAATCTTTTCCTTTTAAAAAATACATGTTACCTCCTTTGAATAATTAATAAATTTGAATTTGAGACGCGGTTGTGTGAAACGAACAAAGGAAAAATTATTTTGAATTTACAGTGCTACTGTATACACGTCCACAGATATTTGAACCCACTGAAGATGGTCTCAGATGACACTGAAAGTACTTGGGAATATATATATATATATATATATATATATATATATATATATATATATATATATTATCATTATTATTATTAAAAATAAATATATATTTTATATATATAAATTATTTGAAAGACAATTTTTGAATTTTTAAAGATTAATTTTCTACAGCAACTAATTCAATTAATTCGTCGACTTGAAAAGATTAAAAATAAAATAAATAGGCATAGTATGTCTAAATTATATATATATATATATATATATATATATACAGTGCTGTTCGATAAAAGTGACTCACCTGATTTTTTTTTTACTAAATGTTCTCGTCCCCGATGAAACGAAAGTTGAGCTAAATTCAAAGGATAAGCGATCTAAAATCCGAAGAAGAAGCTTTGAAAGCTCTTTAAATTTAGCAGTAAGTACTGTCAAGCATCCGTTCAGTATAATGTTCTGGGGATGCTTTTCTTTTCATGGAACTGGTTTCTTAAAACCTATTGAAAAGACCCTGAGGAGCGAGCAATACAAGAGATTTTTAGATTCTTGTCTGCTCCCTTCTGCTCAAAGGTTGCAAATCGACCCCACCAAGCTCATTTTTATGCAGGATAATGCTCCCTGTCACAAATCAAAATTGATGAAGGAATACTTTGATGAGAAGCAGGTGAGTGTTGTGACATGGCCGCCTCAATGTCCTGACTTCAATCCCATAGAAAACTTATGGAGCATTATAAAGTACAGGCTCTCGTGAAAGCAGTTGAGCAACATGCTCCATTGGATTAAGGCCCGATGATTGACTTGGCCAGTCTAAAATTGTTCACTTTTATCGCCTCAGGAATTCCTGTCATGTGTTAGGTTCTGCTCCATAATAAACTTCCTCCCGATTAGTTTCGATGCATTTCTTTGTAAATTGTCAGAGAATATGTTTCTGTAACGCTTCTGAATTCATTCTGTTGCTACCATCATGAATTACATCATCAATAAATTTGAATGAGCCTGTTCCAGAACCAGCCATACAAGCCCAAGCCAAGACACTGCCCCCACCATGCTTCACAGACGAGTTTGTAAGCTTTGGACAATTAGTAGATTCTTTCTTTCTCTACACTTTGGTCATTCAATCACTTTGGTAAAGATTAATCTTGGTCTCATCAGTTCATAAAACGTTCTTCTAAAATCTTATTCATTTCTGTAGTTCCTTGCAAATTCCACCCTGGCCTTCCGATCCTTATTGCTAATTTTTTCAACTTGTGATATGGCCTCTATATTCCTGTTCTCGATGTCTTCTTTAAACAGTAGATTTTGAAACCTTCACCCCTGCTCCGCAGAGGTTGTTTGTAACGTCAATGACTGTTGTTTTG